AATGGTATACCCATCAAACAAAAATTTTCAATCCTGCCTCCCCTGGCCCCAGGCCCTGGCAACCGCCCTCCGTTTCTGTGAACCAGCTTCCGTAGAAGTCCCTTACTTTCTTAAGCTGAGCAGTATTCATTGGATGTCCATGGCATCCTGATTTATCCCCTTCTGCAGGGAGGCACACTACGAATGCGTCTACTTCTTGGCTGCTCTGATGTGCTATGAAACTCTGTGCAGGTTCTTTCCTTCAGCTCTTCTGAGCATATACACAGGCGTGAAATTGTTGGGCCTCCTGGAATCTGTTTAATTTTAAAAATATTTTTTCTTTCATTTACTTCAGGAGAGGACCTGTCAAATGATGCATGTGTAGGTCAGGAAAACTTGTGGGAGTCAGCTCTCTCCTTCCAGCATGTAGGTCCAGGAGAATCAAACTGAGATAAGCAGGCTTGATCACAGACACTTTTACCCTCTGAACCGTCCTGCTGGCCCATGTTTAATTTTGTGAGACTCCACTCCACTGCGCTCTGTATGACGACACCATTTCACTTTCCCACCAGCGAGGGACAGTTGGTTGGTATCTCTTTGTATCTTTGCTCCTGATTTTTTGACGTTTGCAACTAGTTCATGTTTTTCTTCAGCTACTGCACACCGTCCATGACCTGGAGCTGACCTGCTGAGAGTCGGCTGCCCACCGGCTTCTGGCAGGATGCATGTTCCTTAATCCCCATCAGCAAGAAGGTGACATGGGGGGTCACCTGTGACGTAGGATGATGACTGCATAGCACATGTCTCTAGGTGGGAGCTCCTCACCTCACCCTGCTCCCAGTGGGGTGAGGCAAGACCTAGTGCTATTTGCAGACATTCACTTACCCCTTCTCAAAGGATATTTGATAGCAACAGGGAAACAGGACCAAAGGGAAAGAGAGCAGCCTGTGCTTTGAGAGTCTTGTCTTACAATAGATAGAACGCTCGGTCAAGCTCACCTAAGGAGACCATAGAGGAAAAGTCCTTCATTTCCTCCTGCCGCCTGTGTATGTGAATTCTGATAAATTCCATTCATAACTGAGATGAAATCAAGTCTGCCTCTTTGTTCCACTTCCTGGTTTCTTTTCATGATGAAAGTTTGTATTTGTCCAATTATCTGTAGTCTGGTGGTCTTCGAGCACATGCCAAATGGTGGCTGCATGGTTTGGCCACAGTGTCAGTGCTTTTCCTGACACAGGGCAGCTGGTCATGTTGTAGCCTCAGTCGGGCAACAGAGAGGTGGGTGCATGCGGGCATTCAGCAGCTTCCTCCTTTCCCTGCTTTTGTTCAGTCTGGGCCCACACCCCAGAAATGCTGTCCACCTTCAGAGTTGGTCTTGAGTCCACGTTGAAGCCGCTGTGGAGAGGCCCTCACGGGCATGAGGCCGCTGTGGAGAGGCCCTCACGGGCATGAGGCATGTACTGGTGCATCTCCTCGGCAACTCGGAATGCAGCCAAGGTGACAGTGGAGATTATGCACCCCAGCCTCCTAAGGAAAATGTTAGAACCTAGAATCAATGTGGGGCTTGTTTTCCTCCTCACACAGATCAAAACTAGCTGCAGTCAACCCTTTGTTCTGCTCTGTCTTGCCAACAAATGTTTGAGAGAGCCCAGAGCAAAGGATTCCATTTCAAAGGAAGACTGCAGGAAGAATCTATGTTTTCTGTTTGCTGTGCGGTGGTTTCTCTCCCTCCTGAGATAATAATATAGAGACTTGGACCACTAGAGATGTATGGAAGAGCATCATAGAGGACCATAATCACCACACGCCAAAAGAGTCCTGTCGTAGAAATCGCCTCTTGTTCTGGGAAGGTACAGTTACCATACGATTGTTTTTCCTCCCTGGAGGTTCCTGATGCTCTATAATTTCAGCAGAAATAGCCCCCAGGTCATTCTTTGTGACAGAGGAGCCTCTTCACTGTAGTAAGGAAGAAGAGGGGATAGAGGGAAGTGCAGGAGAGAGGACAGAGAGGGAGGACTGTCTGGCTAGAGAGCAGCTGTGTGCAAAGTGTTTCATGTATGTTACCTTATTCAATCTTCGTGATCTAGGATCTCATTTGTATTTCTCAGAAGAGAGCGCTAAGCCCAGGACAGTGCCCAGGGCGGTGCCCAGTATGGTTAAGTAACTTGTCCACGTCATATGGCTAGGAAGCAGTTGGTCTGGTGTCCTAGTCTGCTTCTCTGTCACTGTAGCCAGACACTGACCAAAAGCAACTTGCAGGGGGAAGGTTTTGTTCGGCTTAAAAATTATAGGCCAGCCTCCAGGGAAGCCAAAGCTGGAGAGGGAGGCAGGAACCTGAAGCAGGAATCATAGAAGATGCTGCTTACTACTTGGCTCAGCTATTTCTCTTACACAGCTGTGGTAGTTTGAATGGAATTGGCCCCCATAATCTCATAGAGAGTAGCACTATTAGGAGGTATGGCTTTGTTGGATTGGGTATGGCCTTGTTGGAGGAAGTGTGCCACTGTGGTGGTGGCTTTCGAGGTTTCCTATGGCTGGAATGGCACCCAGTGAGTCAGTCGATTTCCTGTCGCCTGGAAGATGTAGGACTTCCCGCCGCAGCACCGCATCTGCCTGCATACCTCAGTACTCCCCACCACAATGACAATGGACTGAAACTGTAAACGAGCCACCCTCAATTAAATGTTTTCTTTATAAGAGTTGCCTTAGTCATGGCAAAAGAAACCCTAACTAAGACAACAGCCCCTATCTGTCTACCTAGGAATAGGACCACCACCAGTGGACCAGGTCACACACAGCAATGAGTGATAAGAAAATGTCCCATAGATATGCCCACCAGCCAATTAGATGTAGGCAGTTCCTTAACTGAGGGTATGTCAAGGTAACACCTGATGCTAAAAATGGCATCTGAGACTCAAATCTTAGTCAAGTGCCCCCAGGGTTTTCCTGCTGAGATTGTTGGTAAATCCCCAGCTTAAGGAGTTGGCATGAGCAATGAAGATATTCCGGATAATCTTGGCTCTCACCCCTTCTCTGTCATTTTCTTCTCTGAAAGAGAGAATATCACTTCATATTGGGGGGGGGGTGCCTGGAACTATGGTGGGTACAGGAGTGGCAAACCGGTTTTGACAGCTATCAGTATCAACAGCTCAAAATTTAAACAGCAAGTAGATTTTAATACTTTTACTTTGCCTAGGAAAGCTTTTATAAGGCAGCAAATTCCAAGAGCAACCCCCAACAGCATGCCAGCCACCCACCCCTGTCTAAACACGGTAATCCTCTAGAGGAAATAGCTGGCCCTATTAGTGACCCCTGCTAGCTCTCCCCAGCTGTCATAGAAATTGCCTCTCTGGAGTGGGCACTGCCTTCAAAGCAAAGACACAGCGTCCAGGCAGAATGCCCTGCCGTCTCGTCCCAAATGATCAGAAGTAATGCCTTACCCTCCAGCGCTTGGCTGAGCTGCCTTGGCTTAGCATCAGGGTTAGACGGCTCTGCCCGGCAAGAGAAAGTCTAGCATAATCAGCCACGGGACTCTGAAACCAACGTCTTACTCCACCTCAGTTTCTCTTTCTTTTTGAGTCAGAATCTCAAGTAGCCCAGGCTAACCTTAACTCACCGTGTAGCTGAAGATGACCTTGAACTGCTGACCTGCCTTCACCGCGCCGCCACTCCTGGCTCCACCTCAGTATCAGGGGATCTCTATCAATAGCAACAATATATTTATACTCTCCAAAGCTCTGCTCTGTATGGCGTTGTAGCTGCACCCCCACCCCTGGGCTTCTGCACTGACTGTGTGTGCTGCCTCGTTGCTTCAAAGCCTTTGGCATCTCAGTACTACGGAGTTTACCAGAGAAGCGTGGGGACACAGTTGACCATTTTCCCTGGGCAGAGCCAGATTCACCATGGTACCTCTATAGCCGGAGTGAACACAATCGAATTGCAAGTCCTTTTATACGTGTCTCTGTTGTTCCATTAAGCTGTTACTTTAAAAGTTCAAAACAACAAGAAGTTCATTTGTAAGACCAAGTTGGTCAGTTAATTCAAATTTATAGCCCATGTCAGCCAGATATTTAATGAAATTACCGTTTTTAGAAGTTTTGATGTTAGATTTGGTTTTGTATGAAAATATTCAGATTTTAATGCCTAGGGAAATTCCCTGCTGGATTTGCTCAAGATTAACCCTTCAGCCTTGCAAAGCTGGGGTGGGGTGTATGCAAAGCTGAAGGGATAGATAAACTTATGACTGTATGCATAATAATGTTTTCATCAGCGGCATCACTGTGTATGATTCTTTCAGACAGTATGGCTTGCTGATATTGCCGCCATATTAGTATGTGTGCAAGAGCACTGGTGTGGCACAACAGTGAACTCACTAATGGTGAGAATTTAGGAAGCATGCCCCCTCAGGTGGTGCGTGAGTGGAATCTGGTGGGAACGTCGAACTTCAGTAGTGGAGAGAGTATATGAATATGAATACATCCTGCAGTGTTGTGATATAGCAACATCATTTAAATTAGGACTCTCCCCTCCTCTTTTCCCCTCCCTCCTCCTCCCTCTCTTCCTTCCCCTGCCCTCTCTCTGTCTTTTATAACATTGGTGGTGAACTCAGGCCTTACCTATGCGGAGAAAGCACGGAGCTATGAGGTAGAAATCCAGAAGGATTTTAAGCAGCTCTGCAGATTTTTGTAAACCTAGGTACCTGTTTCTATGAACGAGACTGTCTGGTCAGTAAGTTATGCATAGCTGCACTTGGGAAAACAAGCAGGGCAGCCTGGCCCCTCCCATCAAGTGTTTCCTTCCACTGCATGCGTTATTGCTCTTTCCTTTGAATCATGAGTGTGAATCACTTCCATGGCTCTTGACCATGCCTAAGATAACCTCAGCTTGCTTTCCGTCATAATAATAATTATGCTTCCTATAATTATTATTATCGTCCTCTCTCCTCAATAGAGCGGTGACTGGTCCAACTCCCCAAAGGTCTGCTCCCAACTCTCTCTCAAACGCATTTTCTTTTTTTGCAGATTGGATTTGAGGCCCCTTCTCCCCAGGGACAGGCATCAGCCTCGGGCAGTGGGGGTGGGGCTGATTCTGAGTCAGCTCGCCATGTCTTCTCCTTCTCCTGGTTGAATTCCCTGAATGAATGATATATATTCTGGCTGCTGCCCCCTGGCGGCCCGGGTGAGATGCGCACCAAGCCGCGGGGAACTTCTGGGTGAAATTCACCGTGACGCGTATGAATGGGACCTCCGGACAGGATTTCTGAGAGAAAATAATAAACCTTTAATTCCAGATGACTTATCTAATTTGCTGAGAAAATGCAATATGCTCAGAACAAAATTGCAGAAAACACTGGTATAAAGAAACTTGATCTTATGCAAATCCTTTATTATGTGGGCATCATTCTGAAGGTTGTGTAGGTGTGGCACATGTGTGCACGTCAGCTTTAAGTGGCAAGTGTTAACAAAGTGGGCACTCCACTCTCGTCTCCCGTGGGCATGGCTTCTTGTTATTTTTAGCACAGTCGTGTTTTTTCCCTTAGCATTGCAGCTTGTTGGTGACATTCAGTGTCAGTTCAGAACTGACCGATTTATCCAAATCTCGGCATGAGAGAGGTTGCTGACCAAGGCTGGGAAGAAGGCTCCTCGTTTCTACACACGTCACTGAATGTGCAGCCAGAAGTAGTCTCTGAATTTGGCCACACTTCTGTAGTTCAGAAGGACAACGGTTAGGGTATCTCTTTTGACATTTTTCTAATTTTAATCACATATCTCATAATCTTATATTCATACATCAGACATTTCAATTGAAGACTTTTGGGAGGAACTATCTACTTTCTTATGTGCCCATCGTAGCAGCGAGTTGATAAACTGTGGAACAGCTGCATGTATTTAAAGATATACACAATTCTCCTCCTATCATCTAATCTATCTATCTATCTATCTATCTATCATCTATCACTGTGATGCCTTCCTCACATAAGTATAACTTTAAGTGAACTCTTAAATAAATGCTGTTTTTAAAAACCTTAGTCTCCTATGATTTATTCAATTACTCATATTATTATTAAGTCATTAGTCAAGCATAATTCAAGGTTCTCAAGAGAAGCACCATCTTCATACATATAAATTAATTTTAAAGTATTTATCATGGGACTGAACATTTTAAAGCTATAACTAAACTACTAGAGGCAAGTATATTGTCAAACTAATTAGATGCGCTGTTCAGTTTTACGTGCAAATAATCAAGTCCTACAAGTCACAGTTTTTAGGACTGCAATAGGGACAAATATGAAGGGTATTTGTGTAGTTTATTAAAAATCAAAATGTTCCTTTTAAGAAAAATTTCCCAAGTGTCCCTTTCAGCAAATATATTTAGTTACTGCTGCAGCCAGCGCAGCCTGGATAGCTGAGACTGGCAAGGGGTGCCGGGATTGAGACACAGAGGCTTCTCTTCAGGTGGAAGAACAGCAACCTTTATTTTGCCCAGCAACCTTTATTTTGCCCAGCAACCTTTTATACCTCTACTGCTTCTGTGGAGACCCGCGGGCCAAAAAGAACACAAACATCCTTGTCAATTACAGACCACAAGGAAGTTCCCTTGTCAGTCAGTGGGAGTGAGGGCAGCTGGATCACAACAGTTACTTGAAGTGTTTGCGTTATTAAGCTTGTCCTAGCTCGTGCTGGCGAGGTAGTTCAGTGGGGAAAGGAATTTGCCTCTGGGCCTGGAGACCTGAGCTCAGTCCCCAGGACTCACATGGTAGGTAGGAGCGAGCTGACCCCTGCTAGTGGTTCTCCGAAGGCGCCACATTTGCCATGCTGCACGCCTGCCCGCCCACACCCCCCTCCACTCACTGATTATGTTTGCATGTTAATTTCCACTGTGACTGATATTCCAGTTGCAAAATTACCAAGTTTCCGAGGCCAGAGAGATCTCTAAAATTATTTAATTCGGTCTCTGAAGAGAAACCCGAGGACATGGACGAGCCCAGGATAGTCAGAAGGTCTGCGTGAGCTACTGGACAGATGTTGGTGTTTTCAGGAGAAAAATGTAGGCGATAGGGAGGGGAGGTTGTTGTGGTTTTATTTTCTTGTGCTGGGGCAATTTCTTTAGACACACTAAAGAGGAAAAACAAAATCACAATAACCTTTGCAGATTTTATTAAAAATATAAATATTCAACGTTCTCTTACACAACCAAATTGACCAAGGATTGGAAAGATGTTTTATTAGTGAAACGTTTACAAGAAAAAGTTGATTCGAAGAGCTTACACATTATTCCTGGCCACCCCTCGAGAATGAATTCTCTTCTGCTGTGACCCCAAACAAAAACAATGGGCACCTTCCACATGGTTCTCACAAAGCTTTCCCCCTTGGGTCCACCTTTTCTGTAAGATACAGCTGCAAAGACGCTATTTGCACATGGATGCTAAGCACGGGCAATTCAATAACGCTGTTTTGCTACTGCATACGAATACACTTTGTGCATGCTAATTAAGGGGTGTATAGGCTCTCTCCCTGTACATAGTCTATGCTTCAAGCTATATAAAAATAAACAAATGATATCAGAGCTGCGATATGGTACAGAATATTGAGTTTTAATTGTTTAATTTTTACTGGTGTGCTAAATACAGAATCGTTTTGGTCAAACGCACCATTTCATTTCCCAATGATCTCCATCAGTTTCCTGTTGCTGTGAGCTTGTTGGGCTAACTGCTCTGCCCTGGCCATTTCCAAGACTTCGCGCAGAAGGTGGAAGGTGAGATCCAGAGAGATGGGCGGCTCCTCGGACCGCCTCTCCCTCTCCAGCGCCCCCTGGTGTCCACCGAGGGTATCCTCTGCGCCGCGCTCCGCCGGCCCTGCGCGGCTGTCGAGCGAGCGCTGAGGCGTCTGCAGCTGCTGCAGCAACACGCGGAAAAAGTTAGCCGCTGCCTGGTCTTGCGAGGGGCGGCTGCCGCGACCCGCGGAGAGGGGCGAGGAGTCGGGCGACAGCCGAGCGGCGGGGCTTCTGTTGAGGTTCCCCAGGCGGAGGAAGTATTCTTCTCCCATGCGGATCAGAACGGGCTGAGGCTGCTGGGGCTGCTCTGGCTGCAGGAAATTCAGGGGCTGAGGGGACCGCGGGGCGCCGGGGACAGGTCCCCTGCTCACCAGAGCCCTGCATGGAGGGCTGGGCGACAGAGCCATCAACAGGATGCCCACGGACACCAGCAGCCGCAGCCGCATGTTAGGGGCGCTTGCTGCGGCACGGAGGTGGGGGAGGGCAGAGGAGAGAAGGTGGGGAAGAGAAGGAAGACTAGTTAGAGTTTAGCTCAGCTAGGAGTTGCACCCAGGCTTCCTGACACCCCCCCCCCCCAGCCCGGCGCTGGGCTTTGGTGGCGCTGTCCGCGGTGCTGAAGCTAGGCGTCCGCAAGGCTCATCTGCTAACCAGCAGGTGACCCGTCTTTGAATACCTAGAAAGGACAGCCCTTGCCTCCTCTTCCTAAGGATCTCCCAAACGTATTCCCAAGACGGACTTCCCTGAGCCCGAAGAAATGCCACAGGTTTAAGCTATCGCCCGCCCTGATCGCCCCCTTTCGGACAGCCTTTTTTTCCCAAATTGAAAACGGCCTCCTCCGTGTCTCCATCCCTGCCCTTACTCCCTTTGCTTGGGGGTCAGGATGGACGTGGGGCGTTATGGGGGAGCCATTCTTTACACAAACTGTGAGCGGTAAGTGGCAAATTGAGTGGATAAAGATGAGCAGCCGTCTAACTTTGCCTTTTGCTACATCACCACTGCGATTGGAATTTTAAGGCACAGTTGGAGACACACACACACATACATGCACAGACACAGGCACTCCCGCACAGGGGCAACTGGCTCCGGGGCTCACCACAGAAGCTCAGGCAGTACAAAGTTGGCGGCGCCCGCCCGCCCGTCTAGGCGCTGCCTACCTTCTCCTCCCTTGGCAGGTGAGACGCGCTGCTGCCTCTGCAGAGGGACCTCTCCCAGGACGCCTCTTGCGGGATCTCTTCCTCTTTGCCTTTCTCTTCTCCCTTTCTGTTGCCTCTTCCCTTCCCCAAGGCCTCTCAACGTACTTGGGCTCTGAGTTTCTCAACACCAGAGGCTGGAGTGAGATTTTATAACGTCGACCCTCTTCAGAAAGCCCGCAGCGTTTGCCTAATAAGCTGACGCTCTCTTGACAGCTCGATTGCGTGCTGCCTCTGCTCCTGCATAAATCATAGGGCCCTGCCAAGGAGCGAGGGACAGAGTTCTGCTATTTCAACACTGAATCTCACATCCAATTATATCAACAGATATTTATCGCCTCCTTGGTGACGTCAACGAGCCCTAAAATGGAAGGGCTTCTTATGACTTGTCCATTGACAAAAATTCTTGAATGAGATTATCCAAGTGTGGGAAGCATACTGACCTCTTACTATGATAGGCCAGATAAATACCGGAAAAGAGACGTAGACTGGGAAAGGAGAGAAGAGGTGGGGAGAGAGGCCCATCAGTACAGTGCTACCAGGAAAATAGGCACTATTAAGAGGGGAGACCTGGACATCCCCTGATGCTCCACGGCCCCCACCTAACTGTTTTGTCAGGCTGTCCTCTCAAGAAACATCTCAGTATGTGAAATAACATCTTTACTATGGTCCCACCATCTTCCTGCCTGGAGGAGAATGAAGGACTAGGGGGACATTGGTGCAAAGACAACCAGGTTTTAGCTTTTAACCACTTAGTCCTCCCAAGGGCAGATAAAGGAATCACGGAGCTGAGGACAAGACCAATAAGTTCTTTTGTGAAACCCAGCTCAGTGTTTGTCTTGATGAGGAAAGAGCTATTTCAATGTCGAAGGGCCTAAACATAGATTCTAACAAAGACATCAGGTTCAGGACAATCTCAGGCCTTCTGTGGGGTTCCTCTCAGAGTCTAAAGTTAATCAGGACTCTTCAGTTCCCCTCAGAAGATCACAGAGACCTGTAGGCATTTAACAATATATTCCGAGTCTATACTACAAACCCAAGGAGGAAGGCATCCATTCTAACTCATGTGTTAAGACCCTGGGGAAACATCAGCTACTGAATCTGTGAAAAGATCTTTTGTTTCACCTCCGCATACTGCGCAACCATGAGCACATGTACAGCAAGGCACTCAGGTTCTTTGGGTTTTTTTTTTCTGTTTCTTTCTACAAATGTGCACCACAAGTGTCATCAATAATTGCACTCTGACACTGTTACCTAATGGAATGCCGAATCTACAAATCCACTCTCAATTCTTGAGTTAAATGGATATTTTATCTAAGTGGGAAGCAGTTACCTTTAATCCTGCAATTCACAGCGCTGTTACAAACTCTGGTGTCTGTGATTCACTTTGGCTGCTTCATAGCCGCCATGGTTGCTCTCCAAATTGTCTTGTTCCTTGTTTCTGGATATCTCTGCCATTTTCTCTGTAACTAACAGGACAGATAATGAATGCAGATTTCAACCTCTGTTTGGCGTCTGCACTAATCCACAACTGTTCTAGAAACAAGAGGACGGTAGGGGCACACTGGGGATTTCCAGAGAAATCAGCTCATAGCTGGAGTGATGTGCTGTGGGATTTACTTCTGATAGAAGAGAACAGAGAAAGGATCCTGTCAACTGGGAAAATGCGGGTTTTAATAAGTCATGATTAAACAGTGGTTTGGAGCAAAGCTGTGCTTGCATGGATACGGAGGCCTCCAGAACCTTCATTCTTGTTACTTGGGGCTTTTGAGAAGTTGGTTTGGGGTTTGTTGTTGTGGCTTTAACTTTCCTTCATTACTTCTTCTCTACTCATTCACAAACTTCACCTTAAATGTCACTCCGGAGAGGGAAGGCAGGTCAATGAATCCTGAGGAGGAAGTAAGAAAAAGAAGCGCAACCATGGGCTTGCCAGGGAGGTCAGGGGGGGTCCTTAGGGGAGAAGTAGCAAGTATAGGGCTCTGGCTGACATCCTTCCCATAGGGCCATTTGGGAAAGCTGACTTATTCTAGCTCTGTTATCCTTCCTGAGTCCTTACCAGGAATATAGATTGTGGAGCATCATAATTTACCCAAAGTTAGATCGCATTAAATCAGAGAGCACTCACACTGGAAGTGACTGCTTGGTTTAAGTGACAACCAGAGGTTATGTAGCTTATCTGAAGTCACTCAGCTAGTGAAAAAGTCAGAGTGAGAATCCAGTTCTTGTGACTACCAGCCTTACTAATTACATATACAGGATCTCAATATCCTTTGGGCCTCCTTCCTCAGTTCTTGTGACCACCAGCCTTACTAATCACATACACAGGATCTCAATATCCTTTGAGCTTCCTTCCTCAGTTCTTGTGACCACCAGCCTTACTAATCACATACACAGGATCTCAATATCCTTTGGGCTTCCTTCCTCAGTTCTTGTGACCACCAGCCTTACTAATCACATACACAGGATCTCAATATCCTTTGGGCTTCCTTCCTCAGTTCTTGTGACCACCAGCCTTACTAATCACATATACAGGATCTCAATATCCTTTGGGCTTCCTTCCTCAGGAGAGGAACATGAGTGAGTTAAGATGGGTGGAATTTCAGTGGGGCAACACACATATCAGTTCGTGAGGTACTTTTCTTGGGTTTTTCTTTTATTCCCAAGATAGGAGAAAGCAGAAATTCTCCATGCAGTCCCTATTGGCTCCGAGTGTCCGTGTGTGCACAATGCTATTTTCATGTTAGCTGAAACTTGGGTTTATGATGTGGAGTTTTAAGTGCACAGATGACTTTTAAAAAGCTTCAATTTTTATCTTTTTACAGAATACAGAGAGTATGGAAGATTCTGGAAGTTATGATACAGGTTGTGATTGCAGAAGTAACAATGTAAGACACAATCAGATAAGACTAAGGATCTGGGCTCATAAGACTCACACCAAGAGATACCATGTCCCTATTGACAGGAGTCATGGAAGGACCAACACAAATGCTCAGATCCTAGAAACACTGTCCAAAAACATGGGTGCCAAATAATTCCTGCTCAAAATATATTTTCAATAGCAATATAACATAGGGTAGAATTAAATAATATGGAGTACAGATTAATAAAACAAAAGAGAAGCAATAGAGTTGGGTATGTAACTCAGCGATAGAGCACTTGCCTGGTTCAAGCCCTAATACCACACACAGGCACATGGGTTCACACACACACACACACACACACACACGAACACATGAGGGGAGAGAGACAGATAGAGAGAGAGACAGAGACAGAGACAGAGAGAGGGTAACTCCTGCATCTCTTTGCATCTTCATACCCTTCTATTGGCAAATTCAGTCAAAAAAAATCCACTCTCCAAGTTTTCAATTGTTGAACTTAATCAACTATCTTTACTCATAGACTTCACAAATGCCTAGGATGGACACGTGGCTTAATCATTGTGGTCCCTGCACTTTAGATAGATTAATAGCCACCCTTCCCCTCTATAAGATGATGGGGAAAGGTTTTCAGGAACATTGTAACTTTTAATAGTCTCTTCTAGTATCAAAGCCATATACTATCTTCATAGAGGGTTCTGAAAAAGGCAGTGAAGGACACAAGCCAGGTGTGGTGGCAGATCTCTGTCCTCCTATCACCTTCAGCAAGCAAGAGGAGCCCAGCTGGAAGCCAGCCTGGGCTACACAGTAAGACTCTGTCAGACAACAGCAACAACACTGCACAGAATCTCTCAGTGTGTTAGAGCCTAAAGCTAATCACACTTACCATGTTGGTACCTGTCTCCAAGTGTTTGTAATGAGATCAGATATTTTCTCAATAGAGCTCATACTGTTTTTAGTTGTGATTTCCACTTTAAAGGAAACTTATGTTCTAAACCCTAAATGCAAAAAAAGAGTAGATTTTAAATGTTCTCACCACAGAAAATGGCATACAGGTAAGTTAGCTCCACTTAGCTGTACCATGATGTATGCACATACTAAAACATGTATATTGCATGTGTGTATAACTTTTTGGCAATGTAGATTAATCCTTTAATTAATAAGTGGTTTGTTTTTGGACTATTTCTCAGATTAAGTTTAGGACCTGTATTTTTTATTTTATTTTATTTTTTAAAAGGAAACTGTAGGACTCAGCCAGCCATGATAAGGAACTGACCCCCCCCCAAAGAAAGTTCTTAACTTCCAGCCATTATCACCTACCAGTGTAGGACTCAGGCAGGATAAGCTTACTGGAGGCCTGAGTCTCAGTAGTTTACCCTGAAGCAATACCTGGTTGCAGGAAGAACCACAAACTGAGATTTCCAGGCACCACCCAAGAATAGACCATCCAAAGGAAATTCCTAACATTCCAACTGTTGTAGATAGGATCACCTGCCAGCACACACTCACCATGACACCCCTAGACAAATGTCAGCCAATCAGGGGTCCTGAACCTTAGAAATCCCTCAACCCCACCTTTACTACTACAAAAACCCAACTCTAACTGAGCTCTGGGCTCTCTGATCATTCCAATACATTGGACACATGGAGAGACCGAGTTTGCAAACTTGTATAAAATAAAGGCTCTTTGCTTTTACATACAGAGCTCGGTCTCCTTGTTGGTTTTTGGGTGACTTCGCAGATCTGGGCATAACAGAAACAAACTATCTTTTTTCATTTTACATACCAATCCCAGTTCCTACTCCCTCCTCTCCTTTCCTTCCCTCCATCTTCCCTGCACCCCAACCCCCATCCACTCTTCAGAGAGGGTAAGGCACATTGCTTTGGGAAAGGTCCAAGGCCTTCCCTAGTATATCTAGGCTGAGCAAGGTATCCATCCAAAGAAAATGGGTTCCAAAAAGCCAGTACAAGCAGTAGGGATAAATCCTGGTGCCACTGCCAGTGGCCCCTCAGTCTACCCCAACCATACAACTGTCATCCACATTCAGAGAGCCTAGTTTGGTCCTATGCTGGTTCCTTCCCTGTCCAGCTATAGTTGGTGAGCTCCCATTAGCTCAGGTAAGCAGTGTCAGTGGGTGTCCCCATCATAGTCTTGACCTCTTTGCTCACACTCTCACTCCTTCCTCTCTTCAGCTGGACTTTGGGAGCTCAGCCCAGTGCTCCACTGTGGGTCTCTGCCTCTGTTTCCATCAGTTGCTGGATGAAGGTTCTATGGTGACATTTAAGATAGTCATCAATCTGACTACAGGGCAAGGCCGGTTCGAGCACCCTCTCCTCCATTGCTTAGGGTCTTAGCTGGGGGTCATCCTTGTGGATTCCTGGCAATTTTCCTAGTGCCATGTTTC